CTCAATATACTGGATGAGATACAGAAAGAGGTGGATGATCCAAAACATGAATTTCGTCGTCGCATCTTAGCTGGTATGTTTCGCGATATCCAGGACGGAGATCTATCGCTGTATGACTTCCGAAACACTACAACGGATAGCGATGATGTGCTAAGTCAACAGTTAAATCCGTTATATTTGCCCCGTGAAATGTTGGAAATACAGAAGGAGCAAAGTTAAGGGACTTCTGTCATCTCATCATCTAGATGGCTTTTTGTTTGTTTGTTTTTTTTTTTTTCGCTCAATTTTGTGTGTTTTTTATAAATTTGCATTTTTTATTTTACCTTTTTTTGAGTGAACGTTGTGTGTTCTTGTTCCAGTCTTCTAGGTATGTTTGTTTTGTGATATGGCTTACATCTTATATGGACAGTCCAAGCGTCAGTTGTTAAAACTTGGATTGGATCGGATTGCGGGAAGTAGGGATCGAGGTGGATGGGAGGGGAAAAGGACCAGGAATGCTGGTTTAAGTTGCAGAAAGTGTCCAAGCAAAGGGGAAACGGGAAGGGGAGGGGGTGGGTATTGAGTGGGATGGAGATGAGCTGCTCTTTGGAGATAAAGATTATGAGTTTTACAGATGTATTATTGTAAATGGGAATACACCTGGGGAAGATGGAGGTTAGAGAAGCTTATAATAATTAATAGATAAAACTTTCAAAAGAAATGGAAATACAATTCCCATTTACATTATGCTAAGAAAGAAGCTAACTACAAAATTAGTACTGAGTGAAAGCTGGTAAGTTTATGCTTGCATTTGAAAATCGCAACGAATCAGAAAAATCAGGTACTGATGTACGACGATGGTTTTCACAACTTTCATCCAAGCCCACAAACGTGTACATTTCCCTCAAAATCATGTGCATATTTTGCGCGGCTGAGCCAAGTTCAGTGATTTCTCCGTGAAATTTATGAAAAACGAATTATATATTGGAAAGGATTGTTTTTTTTTTTTTTGGACCTAATTGTATTGTGCTGGTTATGATGTTATGTCTTTCGTATTAATCCGTTTCTGTTGTTTGCCGTTTTGTTGATCTTCGAAAATAAAATATTTCTTTTGATAGTTTAAATAGTTACAATTTACAATGTAATTGTTCAGCTATGAGCCGATTGTAGCAACCAAGTTGACCCTGAAAACCTAAATGGCGAAGGCGCGATAGATTCCAGCATGAGAGAAAATAAGAGTGAGATAAGACGTTTCGATCCATTAAGTCATATACGAGCTATGAATCTTATCAAATGTTTCTCTGGGAAGAATCGTTGAGATGGCAATCACTTCTAGAAGTGAAAATTGTAAATTTTGGTATAATCAGCCTTAATAAAATCATATGGGTCTGTACTGTGTGAGTAATTTTTTTGAGTTGTCCAGTTATGTTTGCAAACACCACAACGAGCAAAATCGTGCCACTGGTCCGCGAAAATTTGCCGCATGCATAGGCGGATCCACGGGGCGTGGGCGGGGGGAGGGGGGGAAGAGCGAGAGGTCTTCCCTCCTCAGTGGCACAGGCACCAGTACTGCAAAAGCCCGCGTCTAAAGCTAAAACTGAAGTATGGAGGCAGTACGGGCCGTAAAGGCTCTATGAGGATCATATCAACAAAAAATTTTAAACAGCCCGCCTGGAGGACTACAAACACCGGTCCAACCAATAAACTAAAGCCTAAAGTAACTCCCAAAGTAGCACTGCATTACAGCTCTATTCCTAGTTTTTGCATAGTTTCAAGGTGCGAGGGGAGATGCCATCCCCGTCGCCCCGCCCAGTAGTCCGCTGTGGGTGGAGCTAGAGAATCGGGCCGGACCGCGAATTACCAGATTTTTATGGTTGGCACTTTCGGTAGGGTCGGGTGCGTGTGCAGGGCTTTTGGGTGATGTGTGTTGTGTGTGTTACTGTTTGGATGGTGCTGTGTGTTGCGGTTTACACTCATATGCTTAAAAACGCTTGCGTGGACTTGTCAGTTATGAACTTGT